ATTTGATTTCACCCAATAGTAACCTTGTCGGTAAAAAATTTCATACAAAACAATTTCCATTCGGAAAGGTCCTACTCTATTCATTCAGTAACGTCATATATTTCTAAACAATTCTTTCTATGTGCTTTTGAAAATAAAATTAGATTCTTGAAGAAATACAGAATCCTAACCAGCATTAACGGCGAACAGACGGTAACAAGAACGTCGCAAAATTAACGCCATCTTCTTGGACAGTCGTTAAATAAATTAAATTCGACTTTGATTATGTAACATTTCATTGCATTGTGAGTATAATTAGTTTCGAGCCCCCTGAAATTGCAATGACAGTATTTCATCCCTCTGGCGGTCAGCTGTCAGAAATAATAATAATTATTTCTCTTAATAATTTAACATGCGACGTTGGAATAATCGCGGGTCTCGAAGCCGGTTTCGAGTGGTTCGCGGTCGCGAAAACACGCAAAAAACGCCACGACTGTTTCTATCCTGACCTTATTGCGGCCATGATAAAGCGGTGAAACTGCGGCTCGTGTTTCAGAGAGCCGATTTCTTATCGGTACGATTCATCGATCGACAACTGCGATTTATCATGAAATCAGTATTGGAAAAAAGCTATTATTCCGATTTTATTAATTCGGCACATAAGGCATTTCAATAATTCTTCAAAGCCTCTAAATGTAATCACGGCAGAATTTCTTTATTTTATTACATATTATAAAAGAACGATAACGTTCTAGTCAATATTAAAGTTTCATTCCCCTTATAGTGTTCAAATAAGTGTTACAAGAATATTGTTTAAGTTTTATTCTCTTTCTTCATTAATTATTCATAAAATTCTCTCGTTTCGAGGAAAACTAAAAGTTTGAAAAATATCTCGATTTATATGGAACGGACAATTGCTAATATATTATAAAATTATTAACCATGTCTGAAATATTCTATAGAAAGAAAGATTTTTTTAAAGACAAATGTGTTTCTAAAAATAAAACATCTGATAGCATTTCTCATTTTTCAATTTCATTCAATTCATTCGAATATAACAAACATTTTCAATCAAGCCTGGAAACCAATAAAAATTCGCAAGAAGAAGACAATTAACTTTAAATCTTCACATGGCACAGTCACTGTTCAGCGCAAATGTAGAAACGTATACCAAAGAATGTGACCATCGAAGCTGCGCACCTCGAAGAACGCAACAATATCAATTTATAGTCCATCAAAAATGCCGCAACCTGTTAATACCCTCGCGGTTACTGCCTTACACGTGTAAACACGAAGCGGATGCGCTCAACCGGGCCGTAATTTACTGCACGATTTTCAGGGAGCTGTCTAAATTTATCATACGCAAGAACATTGGGCCGTGCATCAAATTTCATTGCGCCGCTATGGAGGTTTTACAAGGTGTGACGGGCCTGCAGCACGTGTCGAAACAGTGCTGCTGCTGCCGCTGCTGTGGCTCACACGTACACCTCGCGGATGCATTCTTCTCTCGATGCAACCCCTTGGTCGACATTGATGCATCTATCACGTTAAATACACCGCCATTTATTCGATCCTTAAGCCCGGCATCTGTTACCGCACCTTGGGTCAAGAGAGATTTTTCATACCTTTTCTTTATTCAATTCAATTATTTTTCTATTAACTGTACTAATAAAGTAATCCACTATTATTTACAGCGAAAGAATTCGTAGGAAATTGGATTCCTTCGATATTTGGAAAATTTCTCTCACGGAACATAGATGAGACTGAAATTAAATATTAGAATCGTAGCTTGGAATTTTTAGTCACTCTATATTGTAATTATTAGCTTCAGAATATAAGTGCTTCAAAATAGGTGGATAATAAATAATCCACTATATTTTGTCGAATTCAATACCTATTTGAGAGGAAATCAAGGAACTGTATGTTATTCCAGTGGTATTTGTCCTCATTCTTCAATGTTCGCTGCCATTTTGAAAGAAAAAAAGGGTAAACAGATGTTTTAAACTATGTTACCAGTTTATTAAAAAGTAATAATGGATTACTTATTGGGCATTTAATATTAAACCTAGCAACGATAAAAAATAAATGTTTCGTAAGTGGTACAATGGAGAGACTTCAAATTTTGTTTGCTTGTTTAGTAATTCTGTATATTTGTGATGCGTAGTAATTTTTTAAAATTATATGACGTCACTGAAGGAAAAAAAAAATTCTATATACAAGACTTTATATTAGATGTTGTAATGAAACCGTCAAAGGTATTATTGACATTACAATATACTTTGTGTACAGTGCTGAAAGTATTTATTGCATCAATGGACTCTTAAACATACTATTACTTATACTTCTGTTATTATCGATGCTAGGAAAATTAACCCTGCGTTGATACATCCTGAAATTTTAACATTGCTAGTACACTAGGGTATCACATACTCCAGATTATTAAAAATGAAAATTTAAGAGGTAGATAAAGTATAATATTCGGAGAAGTTTTTGGGATCGTTAGTCAACATTTTATAAAAAAAAAATCGCTTGAAAATGTAAAAACGCCGCAAATAACTGAAAAAGATAGCGCTTTGGGCCTTGCTAATTTTCAAAAGGAGGACATTATGCTTCAACTGGGGTATGTCACCCCACCGTACCAACGCCGGATTAATTAAATCCGAGTATTTTTATCAAAAATGTGTAGCTCACTATCTTGGCCAAAGTAAGTTCAATTCTAAACAATTTATCAATAATATCGCTACAAAAATTATGCATACTACATAAATTTCAAAGTGATACAACAAATATTTCCAATACTGTATTAACCTCTTCCTGATTAATAAGCCTTGGCTCCAAAATGCCTATTAGAGAACACACCACAGGTAAAGCGTTAAAAAATCATTCTGAACCTAACAAAAAAAAAAGGTGTAGATTCGTAAGAAGACCTAATAGCATAACCTTGCACCAACTCTACCGATCGTTGCAAGAACCTTCGAAGGGGATAGGGTGGTCGTTTACCCTTATCTCGGCCGGGATCTACCAGTGAAGTGCGAACGATCGAGAGGACTCTGCGACGAAACGAAATCTCGATCGAGGTGGTCCCTTCTTTCTGGATCCCCACGGGGCTAACGCGATCACCTCGCTTCAGTGGGCCCTGTTGCGTGCCGCCGGCGGCGACGGCAGCGGTCGCTCTCTTTTCCTGTTGCCTATTCGGTTCGTCTTTTTTCACGAAAAGGGTCCCGCGTCTCTTTGTGAATATTGTTGCCCGACAAACATGGAAAGCTACTTTATGCCGGATCGACCGACCCCTTATTGCTCGTATTAAAAAGGATAAGTACCTGTGCCGATCTGGGGGTAACACGAACCACGGTGCCACGATGATAAAGTCGCGATCTTTTAAATAGGGATCCTTTGTGATCGCGACCTTTGGGGAGAGAACTCGGTGCACGGGGATTGGTTTCGATTACCTGAATGCAAATGAATGAGCTGTCAACATATGCTAATGCTCCCGGTGGCACACTCGAGTCGGAGAATATTTCAGTCCTTGGCGATGGGTACGGTTTGTCAGCGGGTAACTAGTTTCGAAAGCCTTCGGAAGGGTTGACGAATACAAAAGGATGACAGTACTAATGAATCTTTTAGTTGAATAACTGTCGCTACCTATTTCCATGCACAATATATTATTGTGGAACAAGGATCATACTTGACGATTGTACTCATGGTTGCAGAGAAGAGTGTCACTTTCGACACTGTTTCAGAAATGTTATTTTTACGAATTGTTTATTATTTCTTTTTAGCGTTTCACTTTTCGGTTGTATGTTGACATAGAAATAAATATATTTTTATGTTAGTTGAAGTGAAACAATCCTGTGAAAAATCCTTACCCGTATACGTAAAACAATAGTGAGATATTTCATCAGCCCAGGCGATTCATCTAGTTTTACCGTATGTAAAAAATAATTTTAACCGTACAAAATTTAATACAAATTCTCCACAGCGAGAAAAGCGAACATGACACGAAAATTCAGCAGTCAGTCCACGCGCGTTAATTACAAGTCCTGGTCCCACGGTTTCGAGCAATATTATATCTGAAACCGTTTCGCCGATAAAATCTGGCCCAGTTCCACGGTACGCCCTGTACCCTCGCGAGCAAACTCGACTTCCACTAAGGGAAAAAAGGGGCGTGAGAGAAAAACCTCCTACCACTTGGTAAATTTATTTCAACTACTGAAATAAATATTAAATCGAATATTAATTTGGCATAAATTTCAATATTTCGTGATACCAAATTTTAAGACGCCCTCCTCCAATGCTACTTTTTCCCCTAGCGGAACATGAGTTTACTCGTCGGTGTACACCCACAAGCAAAGTTGGCTCTCACTACGGGGAAAAAGAGGCGTAAGAGAAAAACCTCCTACCACTTGGTAAATTTATTTCAACTACTGAAATAAATATTAAATCGAATATTAATTTGGCATAAATTTCAATATTTCCTGATACCAAATTTTAAGACGCCCTCCTCCAATGCTACTTTTTCCCCTAGCGGAACATGAGTTTACTCGTCGGTGTACACCCACAAGCAAAGTTGGTTCTCACTAGGGGGAAAAAGGGGCGTAAGAGAAAAACCTCCTACCACTTGGTAAATTTATTTCAACTACTGAAATAAATATTAAATCGAATATTAATTTGGCATAAATTTCAATATTTCCTGATACCAAATTTTAAGACGCCCTCCTCCAATGCTACTTTTTCCCCTAGCGGAACATGAGTTTACTCGTCGGTGTACACCCACAAGCAAAGTTGGCTCTCACTACGGGGAAAAAGAGGCGTAAGAGAAAAACCTCCTACCACTTGGTAAATTTATTTCAACTACTGAAATAAATATTAAATCGAATATTAATTTGGCATAAATTTCAATATTTCCTGATACCAAATTTTAAGACGCCCTCCTCCAATGCTACTTTTTCCCCTAGCGGAAGCCAAGTTTGCTCGTGAGGGTACATAAAACAGCCCCCACCCCTGGAACAGAGATGTCTTACCTCGTCTGCCGTGGTCCCTGGATCTGCCCCAGAATCAGAAGGGCTATCGCGGTTGCCGCGATGTCACCACGACGCATCTCTTACATCACAATCCCCTTGTTTAATAGAATATTATAAAAACGGATGTGCACGCGACGTGTTTCACGCTGCTGCGGTCAGCCCCTGACCGGATGCAGAAGTCGGCGGGTTCCGTTCGTTTTCAGTGGCACTGTGAAGGTTTCACGGTCCTCTGGCGTGCAGCCATTCGCACGATCTCTCGCGCCGCGATTTCTCCTCCCATCACTGGCACAACAGAACCGAGCGTCGCGACTGGCTCGAATTTCAGTTCCCTTTTGCTCGATTAGACGAAAAATCGAACCATCCAGGGATCTATCCAACGTTCACTCGTCTCCCTCCCACCCCCCCATAAATCTGCTTCGCTCGTCGATTGTTTCCACCGCGAAACACACACATAAAGAAACACACAAGCACACACAAACACACCTGGTTCCGTGCTCGATCGTTTAAACGTCAATCAACCGGTCCCTCGGAGCGATCCTCAGCTCCGTTCCGGCGGGTATCGTCTTAGAAACGTGAATCACTCCGCTCAGGCTGCAATTTCGCCGCGGGTTCCTTTCGCAAGGAAACCTCGTTAAACTCACACCGCCGTTTCCCGGCGTCGTCGTTCGGTGAAACAAAGCCGCGCGCGGGCCCCAGTGCAAGCGAAACAGCGAAACTGCAAGGCCAACATTTAGAAAACCCGTCGAGAGTGTTTGCCCCCGCCCGCTTTAACTGGTCCGGCCCGAGTGTTTGCGATCGCCAAATACTCGAGAGTCGTTTTTTCCCCCCTTCTGAACGGGTGACTAAGCGGTAACCAAGAGCTCCTCCGGTGTGGGGCTTGATGTGTCTATAACGTGGCACTCGAGGATCTCTGCGCAAGCTGAGGATCTGCCTCGCGTGCGCCCGAAGCAGTCCGCTAATCCAGCCGAGTCCTTCGCCGACAATGAAACGTCCAACTTCTTCCCGTTGATGATATCTACGGTCCCAGCCCTCCTGGGGGGATATAGGTTTCTTAAACCGAAGCCAGAGAGTTCACGGTGAATCGACCAGGTGAGGTTAGGATTATGTCCGTGGGATCCAACCACGGTTTCCCTCTTCCGTATGTGTAGGCCTAAGCCCAGAGCCAGACGGTTCCTCCGATCCGTGAAAGATACCGCAGATGGGGAAGTCAACGAGCGATCCTAATGGACGCTAGAAGACGTCTTGTACACCGTACGTCGATCGGGCATTTATCGAATAAACACTAATTAAAAAGACACACAGCTAAGCACCGCTGATTATCGCGACGAGGGTAACCAAAGAGGGGGTGGGTGAGGGGTGGACGGGACTTTATAGCCAAGCTTCCTGGCTGATCGCAGATACGCGACTACACACGCGACGTATTATTACCGAGGAATCGCGGTCGGTGCTCACGCGAGGATATTGTCTTATTGTCCGTTGGTGTGTGCTAACGATTCCCTGGCGAGGATTTATCGACGGGCTCGTCATCGCGATATAAGTACGCCGCCGCGTGAAAACTCGCCGGCTGATCGCGGCGTCAAGATCTCGCTGGATCGACCGCGGGTCGGGCGTGATCGATCGGCGGTTCGCAGTCACGAGAGGTAAACGTAGCCGGGTTAGCTTCTTTTTCCTTTTCAATTTGGGCACACCACCACCCGTAACCGCCGCTGCTGCTTCTTCGTCTTCTTCTTCTTCTTCTACTTCGCTAACTTAACGAAGAGGAATTCCTTTTCACCGTGTTACCCTCCACCCCTCCTCCACCCCGATCCTTTTCGCACAAGTGCTACCGGTTCTTATTGTTCCACTCGCCGCTTTATTATTCCCTTTTGTCACGTTTTTTCTCCCGAACATGTAGCCGGTCCGTCGTGTGTCGTCGCGTCGCGCTTTCAAACGCAAGATGAACACACGAGGGGGAAGAGCTGGCTTTATCCCGCAATGGCGCAAAATTTGTATGCCGCGTCCGACGAACGTTACAGCTGCTGCGCTGGTAACCGTGAATGGCGGGGGATCCGTACACCTCGAAAAACCACGGTACGTAACGAGGATCCTGGAAGCGCTTGGTGTTCAGGGCCGATCGACGACGGCTAACAGCATCGTTTCGCCTGGCCAGCCTTGGGCTGGAACGTTCCTCCAAGGCGACGTGCGTGTGTCATCCGATCCACCCGGTCGGATTATCGATGTTATAATTAAAATTTCATGATCGATTTCCCCGTTTTGACACGATGTATCCCCCCCCCACGTCCTGTCTCCTTTACCGTGACGCTCGAACGGACAGGTGTAAAGGGGGTTGTGTGTCGCTGGTTGTCTTTCTCTCTTTATCTCCGTCTTCTTTCGATGATCCAGTACTTGACGCGTCGTTAGTCATCACCGATCGTTCGAAGAAGCCATCGCCTTGCGAGGATCTTGACACGGACCGCTATCGGATCCTCCGAAGTTCTTTGTTGCCCTTTCAAATTCTCGTATTTTCGTTAAACATTCGATCCAACGTACGATTTCGAAATCTTCCGGGCCGTATCGACAATCGAATCTACCTCGAAGAGGATCTCCCGGACGATAACACGCGATTTCCGACGAACGAGAGATGCTTCCCAGCAAGGCAAGCGCTCCGGAACTAGAGCAGAGGGTAACTGTGCAAGGTGTGCGCGCTGTGTAACCCGCTGTTCAAGGTAACCGGGCGACCACCGCCAATCAGCGACACGACCACCACAACAACGTGTGTGACAACCACCACCACCACCACCACCACCGGTAGCGGGAGCAACGGGGACCAGGGGGGCCGCAGTCACCGGTAAAGGTAGGAGAGCACTGGCACCTCCGAGGGGTTAGCCGGCATGGGGAGCACGAGAACGGGAACCACGCGTGCACATGGGAATTTGAACGAGCGGGCAGAAAGTAAAGCGCGTTCGGTCGAGAGGAGGGCCCGCGATGGACTGGCCTCGCCAACCCAAGTCCTCCTACCTTTGGGATCAGGTCCCAGCCTCTACGATGTTACCTCTACGATCCTACCTCGCCACGGTCGCTCTCTTTCTCGCTCTTTTTCTCTCTCTCTCTCTCTCTCTCTCTCTCTCTCTTCCTCCCCCTCCCTCTTTCTCTTTTTCCCCTCTGCTTCTCGCGTTCTTTATTTCTCTCTCTCTCTCTCCCCCTCTCTCTTCCTCTCTCTTTCACTCTGCTCTTTTACCATTCCCCCTCGTTTCACCTTCTTCGTATCCTTTCTTCCTCCTCCTGACCACCGCTTTCTCTACTCCTTACCATCTTCCTTTCTTCCCTCTCTTGCCCTCCCCTTTTTAGACCGTTTTCACGCGCGTTCACTGTCTTTCTCTTCGCGAACGTGTCCGCGGCCGTCTCTCTGTACCCCTCGTTTTGCTTTAGTTTCACGAGTTATACCTGTTGCCCCAATACTCGGGGGGCCTCCCCCCTGGTATGCGTATACGTCTATATTCGCCGAACTGCGTCATGGATCCGCGGTCGCGCGTCAATTTCGCTGTTGCTACCGTGCCCCGGGACGGTGTCTGGTCGCGTTCTAACCCGGCTATCTGACAGGTATTCCAGTTTTTCGTAGCGGTGTCGTCTTTCTTCTGCGGTTTCTTGCCTCGTTCCTTTCGCCACACGATCGTTTCGCTGCGCGTACTCGCTACCGGGGCTCCCCTTGATGAATCGCGGCTGTTATGGTTCCCGTACGATTAAAATGTTTGTGCAACGGTTCATGATCGTTTGTACAGGGCTGATTTAGAGCTTTGACGGGTTGGATTTTCCTGTGGTTTTTTTTTTTTGCACGAATTTACTCTGGATAGATTTTGATCGAATGGTCTGTAGCGTTGAGAGCTTGGTACTTCGAGGAAGTGAGTATGCTCCTGTTGGCACTGTTTTGGTAGTTGACTGGATGCAGCGAACAAGGTACATGGTCAGTATAAATGTAGAAACACATTAACACCACGTGAAATGACATCAGGTTGCACACATATTTATGTATGTGTACATATTTGTGAACAGTGCGACGTGATTGTAATGTGTTTCATGTAAATTTCAAACAATGGAAATAGGTACGTCAGTTCACATTTTACGAATTTCACGTGAAAACATAATACGTAACGCGTGATTTCACAGGACGTGATCTTAATGTATTTCTACTTTTAATCTCTTTTAGAGGCAAATTAGATTTGATTGTAAACGGAATCGTTTTTGTTAGTGGTATTATTTGTAGAACGTGAAATGTAACGTAAATTCTAAATATATATCTATGATTTGAAAAACTGATAGTTTATCTATTGAGGTTTAATTTGAAATTAGAGTAAAGTAAACTATACCAGCCTATAAAAATTGTCGACTTTTTACAGTTTTAATATGCACATACTACAACACTAATTTTACGAGAATGTATTGAAGAGATCTGAATCACTTGAAATTAATAAAAAAGAATTCTGAAAAAATGTGAACTGAAAATTGATCTTCAGGATATACTGCATCGAAAACTGACTATAGAAGATATTAATAAATTGGGTTATCCAGATATTTAATTCTTCAATTCTGCGTTATTCTTTTTAAAAATGTTTAAAGCACAATTTCGTCCAAATAAGGTGTTCCTAATTCATCAAATAATAAAATAGCTTGTCGAGGATTCTTGACACTTGGATACTCTGGTTAATACTAATAGTATGCGTAAAGTAATTTCCATTGATAGAAAAATAAAAAAAAATTCACAGAAAAACTACTACAACCATTCTTATAATGTTCTGAAAAAGCAGAGAACTTTTAAATGCTTTATTTCTGGATCGACCGTGAAAGGGTTTAGCAGTCATGCTGGACAGAAATAATTTAAACAATTCATGCGTGTATAACAAAATGTTAGTGATTGTTTCACTGTGTCGACTAAAGAGTGATACAAGTAATGATTCAGAATAATTCCATGAAGTATATTACACTTCCCTTAAAAAGTCCCATAGCGTCAGACGAGAACAACACTTCAAATAAAATACAAATACAGATAATTTATTGGTGCGATGATATTTACAGCTCTGATATACTTTTTCTTCTCTTAGAA